ATTTGTCAGACATGTCAAAAAAAAATAATATATTTTTTGTAAATTCCTTTTATTGGCAAATAAAACAAGTAAACTAAAATGTTTATTTTATAAGATCAGTCCCAGAGATAAGGGAGTAATCTCTGATCAGTCCTACACAATAGACTAAAAAATAGGAACAATAAAAGAATGATTAAGTCAAAGTTTTGAAAATTATTTAATATGTATATCGGTACTTCGAAGATATCTCATTCTAGTCAACTTTTCAGTAGAACAGAATGAATATTGTTTGGACACTTTTTGCATATTTACATCATATTAATTATATTTTGACAAGAAATACAGTTAGCCCCAATTATTGTCGCAATATGTATTGTTTACCAATAATCTAACTAATAAATTTTTTTTAACATACGTTAATTGTTGATTTTTGTAATATATTTTTATGTTCTAATAACAAATTCTCCATGACATATTGTCATATACCCACAACATGCCTCTATAAATATTACGATTAAAGTGAGAGTTAAAAACATTATGTACACATGGCGTTGTTTAACTCGGTAAGTTTATTGAACATATTATTGTTATACTTTTTTTTGTCAACTTTTATTATGACATCACTAATACATGGTATAGTATACCCCTGGAAAGGTATCGATTAGCTAATTTTAAAAATATACTCTAAATAAAACTGCACTGTGTCGACATAGTTCAGTTTACCTCCCAGGTACTGATATCGGTAAATAAATAAATAAAGTATTTCTTATTCAAGCAAGTATGGGGTGCCACACGGTACCGTACTAAGACCCACATTTTTCAGTAATTATATAATTTCTTTATTCTCCTTAACTAGTATGAGTCAGTTTCGCAAAAGATACAGTTATTTTATACTGGTAGGAACTAAAAATTAAAGCAGAAACTGAATTTTTAAATGTAAAAAACTTGATGGACCATAAGCTTTTAACAATTATTTTAGATAAGACTAATTACTTAGCCATAACTCATAGTGTTTGTAATTGTCTATCCTTCAATCTTGAAATCCCTTATGAGGAAACGTATGAGAGTAAATCGAGTGTTATCAAGGGTACTTTTTTGTAGTAAATGAGTACCCAATCCAAATTTCATACTCAAACCCCTTTTTTGCCATTGGCGTAGAATTTTTAAAGGTGCAATTATTTAAAAAATCAAGTTCTACGCCTATGTATTATTATCGGACAAAATTTTATACGATGAAAAACTTAAAAATGTACTTTTTTTATATCTTCTTCAACACCTCTAATCGAGACTTTTAACAAAAATTCTCGATTCTTGCCATGTACGATTTTTTGAGGAATATTAATTATTTGCCTGCAATACGTATACAAAAACATTTATTGTTGGTTTCCATAGTTTCATCTAAATAAAAATATTGTCAAGTTTTAACACCTAATCTCTTGTTAACGATTCAAAGTGTTCTGACTCCATAATTAAAAAAACAAATGCGTGGTTTATTAATGTGGCTGTACAACATACCAATGCAGAATATACCGATATGTTACTGACATTAGGATTTTGTGAAGGAAATGCTCGAGAGAGTGTCAGGGTGTACTCTGAAAGGTTTCCAAATCGTCGTATACCTAGCCACCCAACTTTTGCTGCTGTTGAGAGACGTCTTCGGGAGACCGGTACCTTTGCTCCCAACACTGTTGATAATGGAAGAGACGTTTTGTAAGGATTCCTGAAGTTGAAGAAGACATTTTAGAACGTGTTGAAGAAGATCCAGAATTGAGCACCAGACGAATTGGAAGGGAACTAGGAGTAAGTAAAGATGTCGTTCATTAAGTGCTTAGAGAACAATTGCTATATCCATACCATAAGAAGCCAGTATAAGAATTATTAGTCCATGATCCTCAAATTCGTTTGGGTTCTTGTCGATTTGTTAATATGCAAAGAGAAAGAGATCCAAACTTTGTCAAGAAGGTTTTCTTTGCCGATGAAGCGGGTTTTACAAGAAGAGGTATAACTAATACCCATAATGAACATGTTTATGCCGTTAAAAATCCGCATGCAATAAAGGTAAACCATTTTCAGCACGAATTCAAAATTAATGTGTGGGCTGGAATAATTGGTACTTTCATTGTTGGTCCTGTCATACTTCCACGAAGATTAACTGGAGAAAATTATTTGGATTTTCTACAAAATACGTTGCCAGAATTGTTAGAAGATTTACCTCTCCAACTTCGTAGGGATATGTGCTTTATGCAAGATGGAGCTCCACCACATTTTTCTTTAAACGTTAGAAACCACTTGAATGAACAATATCCACACAAATGGATAGGCAGAGGTAATGACGCACCTGTAAACTGGCCACCACGTTCCCCAGACCTAACACCGATGGATTACTTTTTATGGGGACATCTGAAATCCACAGTATACAGGGAACCTGTAGAAAATGAAGAACAACTCTGGCAACGTTTTCAAGATGCAATAAACAATCTTAGAGGTGATGAAGAAGTTATGGAAAGGATACATTTTAATTTTCTTCGACGTATAAATCTTTGTATGCGTGAAAATGGTAAACATTTTGAACAATTTTTGTAAAATCTCTATTTTGATTGTTGTAAATAAATATTTTTGTGAAACCTATACACTCTAAATTATTAAAATAGAAATTTAGCGAAAACCATGAGAGTAATCGAGTCTTATCAAGAGTACATTTTTTAAAGCAAATGAGTTGCGCAATCTAAATTTCATACTCAAACTCCTTTTCTTCCATTGGCGTAGAATTTTTAAAGGTGCAATTATTTAAAAAATCAAGTTCTACGCCTATATATTATTATCGGACAAAATTTTAAAACCATTTTTTTCCACATAAAACTCTACCAATATACCAAATTTCAGGAAAATCGCATATGCCGTTTTAAATTTAAAAACGATTTAAAAATTGTAACTTCAAGGCCCTCTGGAGCCCACACGAAGCAACTTTGTACTGAGGTAATTTTACTTAAATCGACTTATTTTGGTCCAAGGAATATGTGGTATGTTTTTGTAGAGACCTTTTACAGACACCCTGTATAATAAGGCTGTAAGAACAGTAAAACACTTAGAAGTTATGAATGTCGGAACGACTTAAACCTTAAATGGACAGCTCACATCAATTAATAAAAAAAAACTAAAATTTCTGTTATATAAACTTCAATTTATAAAAAACAAACAAATACATGTTCCATAGCTACTTGTCCTTTATTCTTCGATAGTTACCTGCGCTGTGGAATAACATGCTGGGAGTCTACCGCAAAATCAGTGGCGGCTGGTAACCAAAATATTGGGGATTCACAATGACAGAATATAGATCTCAGTACATATGTAGAAAAAGGTATAGGTATAGAAAAGTGTAATATTCCTAAAACACTGAAAGTTTTTAAACTATATATGTACTGGGTGAATCTTGTGAACATTGTGAACCCCCAATATGTTGGTCTAGAACCGCCACTGCGCAAAATATCACATACAACAAGTGGACATTCTAGTCATTGTTTAGTTATATTCTAATTTAGTTGCTGGAATCACTTTACTTACATATTTTTCTACAAAGTTTGTTTTTGTTTTGTACTTTAATTTTATTTTTTAAGTAAAATCAAGATAAGTTACTGCTACTGTAATAGTGGCACAACTTCAAAAAAATAAAATTCAAATTAATAAAAAATTTAATTTTTAACCTAATCATTCGCGAAAAAGTTTATGAAACAATTTAACGTCCATAATCAATGCTTTATATGTGTAATAATATGGGTAATAATACAATAAGAGGTGAGAATTTTTTAGAACATTTTTTTGATTCTTTAGAAATGATCCGTCTAAATTCACTCATTAAAATCCTCCTTAAAATACCACGAGACGTTAGTTGTGATATCGTTAATAAAATAAATAGTTAGGTCACTCTCACTGAAGCCTTCGAACGCTGACGAAATAAGTGTTGGATGTCTTTCTTAAGGTATGTCTCCACCAAAGCAACACAGACCAACATAGTTCAACTTTGTTGGAGATACAAATTGTCTAGAACAACTTTCACCAACAAAGTGTCTCCACAAAGACAACAATGTTGCATGACGTTGATTTTGATTTTTTTAAACATGCAACCCCAATAAACATCGTGTATACACCAGTGCAACATAACACAGTCAGCCATGTTGTACGACGAAGATGAGGTGATTTTTGCGAAAAACCAAGCTTAAGTGCTGGGTTCGCCCAATTTAAAAAAAAAAGAAAAATAAAAGGAGGAAATGAATTGATAAAAGATTTGCTGGAAGACGATCTTCTTTGGGGTTACCTTCGAACAGATGGTAGTTTTAAGAATTTTTTCCGTATGTCTAGTTCTGATATGGAAGGTTTACTAAGGAAAATAGACCCCCTGATTCGGAAATCAGACACAAATTACAGGGAAGCAATTTCGCCTCAAGAACGATTAGCTGTAACATTACTATTATTAGCCACTGGTGATTCCTACCATAGTCTGATGTATTTATTCAGAATTTCCAAACAATCAATTTCCAAAATAGTAGAATTTTTAGATTTGGTTAATATTTTGTTTAACTAGAAAAAAAAGAGAAAATCGTAATTATAATACTTAGGACATACCTACGCACATAAACTAAATATTTAAGGACTTATTAGGTAGAAAAATTTTTATTATTTCGTAGTAGAAGTATTATTATTGTTTCGTTTTACAGTTCACATTATTTTAATCTGTGTTCAAACCAAAGCTACGGTGGGTGTTAACAAAAATAATTTCCAAACACTGCCAAAATATAAGCTAGAATGGAGTGAATTTTAATTAATTGTTGTTAACTGTTTTAACAATATTAATTAGAATACGGTCCAGTCTAACTAATATTTTGCTAGATTTTGATATTTATGTTTATATTACTCACCGCAGCTTTGGTTTGAACAGACAGTAGGTACACCTCTTATTATTTTAGTTATTTTCAAGTGTTTCCATGGCTTTGGCAAGGATATCTGAACCTGTTTGACCATTGTTTTCATACTGTAAAAGAGTTAGTTGTATTTGTAAACTGTGTAGAACCTGGACCTGATGCTGTTTTAAGGGTAGCTGAACCTGTTTGATTATTGTTCTGATACTGTAGAAGAGTTTCTGTTGTATTTGTAAACTGTGTAGAACCTGGACCTGATGCTGTTGCAAGGATAGCTGGACCTGTTTGATTATTGTTCTGAAACTGTATAAGAGTTTCCGTTGCATTCGTATACTGTGCAGCATGTGGATCTGGATAATATACTGGAGATGGTACAGTAACAGATAGGGGACTGTATGATGAACTGGATGACGTCGAATATGGCTGACTATTAAAACCACTACCAAAATCGTGTTTACCCATGCTTGCCTCAAATAATATATATGAAATTAAATGTTCAGCTGTGTTGCGGGCACATTCAGAAGGTAAACTTCTTAATTTGCAAGCCACATGTTCACCAAATATTGAGTAGCTATCACGCATTCTCTTGTTTTCATGCATTTCTTTCATTATGGTATAAGCTTCTTCAGTTCTTCCATCTTCATCTTCCATTTTTTTTATTTTTTTTTTTTTCGTTTAGGTGCTTTTTTCCTTTAGGAGACTTAAATATCTTCTGTCGCTCAGTGGATGATGGTCCAGGAGATTCTGGAAATATATTTCTTGACTCAGGTTTTGATGGTCCAGCAGATTATGATGATGTATTTCTTGACTCAGGTTTTGATGGTCCAGAAGATACTGACGACATATTTATTGATTTAGGATTGTCGTTTGAGCTGTTATCATTAATGATTTCTTGTTCGGGATTTTGTTCTTTTTGGCTAGTTTCGGGCAGGGTTTCAGTGTCTTCACCGGTATCATCTATATCTTGGGAGAATGTTTCTGAATCTGCAATTATAACCTCGAGCTAAAAACTAGTACTTTTTTCCCTTGTATAATAAATATAAATTTTTTATAAGTTGAGTATTTAAATATGATTTTAATTTAAAATTTTAATTGTGAAGATAATAAATTAAAAAAAAGTTATTGTGAAATCCAGTACGCGCATCGACCCCCTGTATAGTACGTTGTGCTAAAGCATGTTTTCTTTTTATTTCAGATACCAGCGTCCCCTAGTGAATGGGAAGTTGTTGCAAATGACTTTGAGGTGCTTTGGAATTTTCCAAAATGCGTAGGCGTCATGGATGGGAAGCACATTGCACTAACAGCTCCAAAAAATACGGGCAGTGAATTCTTTAATTACAAAGGATTTTTTAGCATTGTTTTGTTTGGAATCATGGATGCACAATACAGATTCATATATTTTAATGTTGGTTCGCAAGGACGCATATCTGACGGAGGAGTATTTGAAAATACGTTGTATAATCTATTAAAACCCCACCCAGGGGCACAAACCAAGGGATCTCCCAAAAGAGTATTTAACTATCGATTGAGCAGAGCCAGAAGAATTTCGGAAAACGTATTTGGAATCTTATCTGCAAAGTTTAGGGTATTAAGAAAGGCAATGATATTGGAACCAGAAACCTCTGGAACCGTGGTTTCAGCTAGTATGTACCTACACAATTTTCTTAGAAATAGCTCTACTTCCAAAATGTCTTACAGTCCCCCAGGTACTTTCGATTCAGAGGATAAAGATACAGGAGAAATGATACAGGGATCATGGAGACGAGAACAGGAAAATTCTCATTTAATTTCATTTAAAAAAGTTGCTCGAAAACTAACTAATAAAGCTAAAAATGTAAGAGACCAATTCATCGCCTATTTCTCTACACCCAGGGGCATGGTTCCATGGCAAAATAAATATTAACTAATTTCATGATTGTTATTACTATTATTACCTATTATTAAACGAGTTATTAAAGGATGATAAAAAAAACTTATATTTTAATTATTATTACTTACCCCAGTTTCAGAAAAGCCTCCTTCCCTGCATGGACGGACTTTGTTTTTTATCTCGCGAAAACATTAAAGAATTGTACCCAAACCATTTCGTAGTAAAATAAGCTCCGGCGCCAGACTTTTTCATAGAAAGGTACTTTTTTCGCTCACGGTAAAACTAAGCTACCATGTTTCGAATTTTTTTTTACTTCTTCTTTATTTTGGCACTGTATAGCAGCACAAATTGCCTCACAAGCATCGTGTTTTGCTTCCATGCACTTATATTTCACGTCGGAACATCTCCACAAACACGGATATTGTCTGTAATTATCAATTAAATTGATACAATTTTCCATTGTCCACTTAAACGCCATTTTTTTAATAATAAAATGTGTTCGACTCGGTGCTCGATTTACTTTTCAACGCAGAATATACAACGTCCAACTTTCTGTTGCAATTTCTTGCGACAAACCGTCCACATCAACTACAACTTATGTATATGTTGCTGAATGTCTGCGTGTGTTTCACATTTTCCTTTGATCTTTACCGCTTCAAACCGAAACACACAACAAACGTCAACATCTTGTTTACCACGACATAAACAATATGCAACATAGTACAACAAATAACAACATGATGCAACATAGTGTGACTAAACATGTTGTTGTTGCAGTAAGTTAAACTATGTTGATTTGGTGGAGACATACCTTTATAAACCGTATGAACCAACATCGCCTGCTCGAAACATGCTGGTTTTTAGACAAGGTAGATAGGATCTTGGTGTCGGCTTCTGCTCGAATGATTCTACTAGTATTGTTTATATACGATGGTCGAATGGTATTTCGGGAGTATTTTGTTGAGTTAAATTTTCGCGTATGGTATTTGGTAAGATTATTTAACAATGTAAACAGAACTTTAATAAACAACATTTGCTTTGTGGCCGTAAGATGGAGTCGCAATGATGTACAATGTATATTTGAACAACCAAAACGAACTTGTCCATTTTTTGTTACCCTTTTGACAAACTTCACATTGACGTTTCGCGGGATTGAGTGAAAACACTACACCATTCAGTGTTTTCAGATACCGTTTGTTTGTTTGATTGAAGTGTGTTGGAATTATCTAGTCTTCTTAGTTTGAATAAAAAAGGACTGTCATTGAGTGATGTATTAATCTTAAATAATCACGGAACTAAAAATTTTAAACTCATTTATCTGAAAACTAAATTTTTTGAGTTGCGACATTCTTGTAGCCTATTCGCGATTATTCCTAATAAACAGTATTATTTATCTTAAAACTTCAATTACACTGTAGTATTCTTCTCAATTTTCGCAAAGAAATCACAAAAAAGTCGGTAAGATCGTTGCTTATGATCTTGTCCAAGTAACACATAATAATTGTTTTTTTCGAGGTAAAAACGATCTCGAACAAGAGCTAATAACAGACATAAGTGGTACCTCGAGTAGTACCGGTAGCTTTATATGACGATAACGTTGGCGGTCTCTTTAATATCACGCCACTAATGTAGGTATCTTTTTTACCGACACAAGATAAAAATGTCTCTTGGGCTTTGTGCGCACTGCCTGCTTTTTGTGTGGATCTAATTTTAAATGAAATTGAAGAAATTGTAGGGAATTCTCATTTAATTAACGAACAAAAAAAATTGACAGTAACTAATTTAATGCAACATCTTTTTGCAGATCGCGATTAGGTACCACCCTGGTTACTGCTTACACTACGAAGATGTTAATTGGTTGTTACTTCTTCAATTCCTTGTTTATTGCAAAGTGCTAACTACTCTTTTCCCATTATTCTAAAGAGTAAAATGAAGAAATAAAAAACAAAAATTTAATTTTATAGAAGGCAGAATAACCATATAATACACAAATAATAATTAAACATCTTGTAACCCCAACATTACTACCTACTTAGTTAATTTTAAGTAGTCATTATAATTTTATTCCAAAGGCTATTTAACAACTTTATGGAATAGGAGTTGAAAATTAGCAAACTGGTTTTTAAAACGCATTTTCTTCAAGGCAAATAAGTACTTTTTGCTGTTCAGTTGCAATATGAGATGTCATTAAAATTGTTAATGAGTTGATGGCATATGCTAAAGTAGAATTGTATAATCATCTAATAACAACAATCAAAAAAATGAAGGAGTATCATTTTTTTTAAATGTGCTCAATAGTGAATTAGGAATAACGCTCAAAATCAATCCCTCAGAAATACAGTATGGCCCAAAATAAACAGTACTGAACTTATAATACCTTTATTTATTTAAGATACGTATCATAGACCTCCTTTTTGAATGTTTGAAAAACCTCTTCTAATTCATTGATGATTTGTGGTGTATTTTTGAAGACTGCTTCTTTGCTCATATGTGTTTGGAAAGGTGATATCTGGTAGTCGTTGACAAATATGCGTTACTGCGTAGGTACTGTTTATTTTGGACTATAATGTATTTATTAAAATTAAATGTCGCGACTAGTTTCGACCTATATGGTCGACTTCAGTAAAAAGATGAACAATATTAATATAGTATATTAATGTTCAAATCCATATGGCAGTACAAGATTAGTTATTTTTATTAAAAAAAAAAAGTTAAAGAAAAACTTTGAACAGTTAAATGTGGAATTATTCAGAAAAATTCCTAAACCAAGAATTATAACAAAATTACCAATATGTAGGGTTCAGAGATATTGATAATCGAGAGGATAACGACCAAGGTTGAAATCAGTGAAATCTCCTAAACATGAGAAAAATAATGTTTGATACGAACATGGAATTGAAATAAAACAAATTGTGGCCATCTATATCATGGAAAGTTGGTCGTAAAATGTGTTGAGACTTAATACGTAGTTAAATTCTTGCAGCTATTGAAATTAGAATGGTTATAATAAATAAATATAGCAGGGAAAAGGATTCTGCTCCAGATAATACTAGTGTTATCCTTCATCGGATTGTAAATTTCTTGTGATGACTTTGTGATCATTAGTAGGTACAAATTAAAAAGAAAACAATTGACCAAATGCAAGTCGTACTTACTTGCCCAATATTATTCCGTAACGTAATACTTTTAAAATAATTAGAGATTTTAGAGTTGACATTTATATTGATGGATTTAGGGCAGGCGCTGATGCAAAGTATTCTTTATTTGTACAAAAAAAAAACTATCCAATAAGCATTTTCGACAATTCAATAATAATAGCCGAGACAAAAGTTCATATTGAAAGTGTAAACAGTAAAACGTATGATTTATGCAGGGTGGTCAACTACAACGATGTCAAAATAAACTTAGAAGCTATGAACTTCGATGATATTTTGAAAGAGTTTAACAATGTAAATGATATGCGGAACACTTTTCTATAAACCGTTAATGAAATAATTAAAATAATTAATAAACATTTTTTTACCAAGAAGTACCGCAGAAATACGTTAAAACCCTGGATAAATAGTGATGTCATATCCTTAATTCATCCTAAACAGCGACTTTGGAGAAAGTACAGCATTTCTAAAAATATAGAGGACTTAAGTTCTCACAGAAATTTCAAAAAACTATGCATTCGCTCAGCGAGAAAAGACTATGAAAAAAACATTGTTTACTCAGAAAATCACAAAAAATTCTACAAAAATATGTGGGTTCAAATTTATGTTCCAAAGTAAGTATACCTTTATTGCGTTACCCAGACGGTACTTTATGTTCGATACTGCGGAAATTCTGGCAAACACTTTTATTTCTGTATTTACAAATGAACCTGCCACTACCGCAATACCACATATAATAACCACAAGGATACATAATAGTCTGATTGATGTGCAATTTAATCCTGAAAAGGTAAAAAATAAATTACCACTCTTCTCCTGGTATCGATGGATTAAATTCTTTTTTTTTTTTAAGTATGCAAACACATTGTCCGGTCCGCTTTCCACAATCGTAACCATGTTTTTTAATACATCTACTTTAGCCGACTTATAGAAAATTGCGTCAGTCACAGCTATATTTAAGAAGGGTGACAGACCTATAAGCCCAAAAATCATGGAAAGCATCGTAGTTGATGTTATGACTAAGTTTTTCATGACTAACTTTTTCAAAGAACATAACGTAATACCAATGGAACAACACGGTTTTGTTAAAGGTAAATCTATCACAACAAATCTTTTATGCTGCATTAACGATTGGTCTCGCTCACTCGAATGCAAACAACCAATTTATCTCGACTTTGCGAAGGCTTTTGACAGGGCCCCTTTCGTCAGACTGCAGCCCAAACTCGAGGCATTTGGTATTCGAGGAAAATTATTGTCATGGATTCACAATTATCTAGGAAAAAGGAGCTTTCGAGTCAAAGTTGGTCAGTCCTACTCATCAGATAGATTAGTGACAAGTGGTATCTTCCAAGGCTCGATACTGGGTCCACTACTTTCTATAACTTATTCGAGTGATTTACCTTACCATATCCAGTCTCAAAGAGCATTTTATGCAATGACACAAACTTTTACGAAAACCCCTTGGTAGACTACGATAATATTCAAGCTGACTTAAATTCAAGTGATTGGTGCTCGGACTGGTTTCTCTCATTAAATATAAAGAAGTGTGTGGTATAACATATCGGCAAAAATAATCTACGTCTTCGTTACTCATTCGATAGCCATAATTTGGCGCAAGTGTCTTCGTATGTAGATTTAGGTGTTTTAGTGACGTCAGAACGAACATGGTCTGAACAAATTCTAAAAACATGTAAACGTGCAAATTCGATGTTATATTTGCTTCGAAAGACTTTTGCAAAGGCATCCTTTCATACATCCATCAAATTATTTGAGATTTATGTACGACCTTTGTTAGGTAGTAGTTTGGTGTCCGCTTCTTGTGCGAGACCAGAACCTTTTAGAAAATGTTCAACGCCGGGCTACCAGAATGACCTTTGAAGCAGTCCGACCATCATACGCAGCAAGACTACAATTGTCAAATTTACCAACTTTTGCGAATCGTCGACTACGAAGAGACTTGATTCTAACTTTTAGAATACTTAAATATAATTTCGGAAATCTTAGTGACATTTTTTTGTTAAATACTGACTTGTCTACGTGATCATGAACTAAAATTAAATAAGAAAAACCTAAAAACAAAGCATAGACAATTATTCCTTTCCAACCAAGTATTTAATGTATGGAACGATCTCAGCGACGAAGTTGTTGGTGCCATAATAGTTAACGTCTATAAAAATAAGTTAGACGAGTGTTTGTTTAACATTTTTATTTAATTTTTAGTGTTCTTATCTTTTTGCACAAATTGTCTCTCCAAACGCAGTGAAATGGGCGATGAATTCATTCTCCCCCTTCAAATCACCCGGAG